TGTGCCCAGTCCCCTCTGGTGGTGCCGGTCCCCACAGTGCTGAGCTGTTGTGCCGGCCCCACAGGTGATAGGTACGGGGGTGTTGATCCTGGGCATCCTGGCCATCATGGACAACCGCAACAAAGGTGTCCCCAAGGGCCTGGAGCCGGTGGTTGTGGCCCTGCTGGTGCTCTCCATCGAGGTCTCCATGGGCTCCAACTGTGGCTGCCCCTTGAACCCCGCACGGGATTTTGGGCCCCGGCTCTTCACCTACGTGGCAGGTTGGGGCCCGGAGGTCTTCAGGTGGGTAGAGGGAAGGGGGTGAGGTGGGGGGTGGCAGGGGTGATCCTCTGCCCACCATTTCCCGTTCCCAGCAGGGGCAATGGCTGGTGGTTATTCAGCAAAACACGTGGCTGAGTCCAGAAACATGCTGCTGTCCTGCTGCAATTAAAGTAAACCCTTTTGGTGGGGTATTAGAGAGGTTTTTTAGCCTTACTGATTTTTTTTTTCCTCTCTCCTACTCTTTTTGCTGTTTTTTATGCAGCAGCATCAAGGATGGTTATAGTCTAAGATCTCTGCTGGATGTTTTTCTGCCTAAATGTCACTGTAATGTTTCCGCTGGAGAGTTGTTATAAGCAAAGAGCATGTGTGTGTGCACGTGTGTGTGTGTGTGTGAATGCATAGATATATATGCATTATATATATATTTATATAATTATTATTACTGATCTCTCTTCTGCTTGTATTAGGAAATGATCCCTGGCACTCAGAGATGTGATGAGTTTAGTAAAGGGAATGCTGCAGGATGATAGCCCTGTAGGGCCTAAGGTTGTTAACAAAGGTCAAGTTGAGAAAAGCAAATTTTATGTCCATTACTCAAAATGCTAAACATGCTATTAAGCCTCCGCATGGTTTGTTTTATATTTGCCAGTGACTGACTTGCTGTGTAAGCTCATTTTATTTCCTCTTGCTTACCTCCAGCCTTCCTGGCTTTTTAAATGGCCTCTTTCTATTTCTCTTCCAAAGATAAATTGATGGGGGCCTGTCACCCCTGTCTCATTGCTTGGCCTGTATATGCTTTTGGTTTCATCACCCTCTTAATTCTCAAGTTAAATCTCTCCTTCCCCCACCTCTGTACTCCTTGAACAGACCTTGTCAAACTCTGGTACAGTGCCAAGCTGCCCACAATTTTTCTCTCTTAAAACGGCTTTCTGCAGCTACGTGGCCTTGCCCCAGTTGTCGTTTTGTGGTTGGTCAGGTGTTTCTAACAGCTTTGGTCGATAGCCTGGACCCCTTTGGTCTCCTCACCTTGGGCATAGCCCTGGGCAGGGTTTTGGGGTCTCCCAGCCCCGCGTGGATGGGCTGGGCTGGGTTTGGGGTCCACAGCCGAAGGGGTCCCTGCCTTTTACACCATGGATGTTTGGGGTGCTGGTGGTGGGCATGTATTTCTGGGTTGCAAGAGGACTCGTGTAACTCTTCAGACTCTGCTCTGGGATGGTCTGGTACTAGAGGCCGGTTATGGGTGTGGGAAAAGTGACTTGATACATGAAAAGCTCCACTTTTTGACGACTGCTTCTTTTTCCTTAGCTTTTTCTTGGGTCGTGAATCAGTTTAGTTAACTATAGAAACCTCATCCTTTCCCCTCTGCTCTGCCTTGGCTTTGATTGCATGCTTGAGCAGGCTCCCCTTGAATCAATAATAAATTCTTGCATAATTCATCCCGCAATGAGCAGCTATAATGGTTTCTCTTCTAAAACTGCCGCCCTCCAGAGATTACAGGATTAGATATCTTCGGGAAGTCCACAGAAGTAGCTTTTAATACTTCGATGGGCTTTCTCCATTGAAGGAGTTTTCTTTTAGCAATGAGGAGTATTTCAGTACTGCATTTCCTCTGCAATAGGATGCAGAATGTGCATCCAACCATCCACTTTTTAAAAGACCTGATCAGCAGCAGCATTTGGCAGTGCTGCATCATACTCATTCCGAAAATATCTTCTTCTCAGTGGGGGACCTCAAAGCACTTCGTGTTGCAGGTAAAGAAACCAAGGTACAGACACATTAATTGACTTCCTTGGAATTTGATGCACTGAATTGAGTGACCCAAACTAGGAGTTTGCTCATCCCAAACTCCTTTCTGGTCAATTAAGAAAGATGGGCATCTCCAGGACATGGGGTTTCCTTCCTACAGATGGACCACCTGTATGACGTGGGTATCTAACATCAGTATGCCTCAGCAGAGAGAGATGCACATGGGACTGTGTGGCATTTCTGGGTGCCAGCTGTGACGACAGCTCACAATTACCTGTGCCTGGTAAATGCTACCCAGGACATGGAGTTGACATGGTCTAAAGCAGCTCCCAGACGGCAGGTCAGCGGGGAGTTGCACATTGCTTGCGAAGCCATTATCACACCGGAGAATCTCATCAAACCTGCAGCCTTAGGTGGACAGGGCCTACATCAGTTTAGTGAAAAATTACTGACCATACAATTAATTAATCTAAATTGTATCTGTTTTTATTTTGGTCTTGTTTTCTAGACAGTTTAATACTCAGGTGGGGTTTATTTTCCCCTGTTTTTAGTGATTTTTTTTCCTTTTTTTTTTTTCTCCCAGGCCAGGGAAAATTGTCAATGAAGGAGAATTTCAGTCTTAAACACATATTTTCTGCACATAAAGATATTGTTTTCATACAAAGACTGCAATCTGCAAATATAACTGCAACTTGTCCGTCCTGGTAAATGACTTGTATTACAAATGGGTTTAGATTGTGCCTGGTCTGTAGGACTCCTGCCTCTACCTTGCTCCAGAGATCACAGCAGATGAGGGATGTTGCCTGGTTCAGCATGGAGGAAATTGGGCTTGAACTGTGCCCGAAGTGGCTCTGCCTGTAGCATTATCAAATCATTAAAACAGAGCTTCCTCAGCTTCTGTGAACCAAGAGGAGGGATCATCTAAGCATGAAATAGCAAATATATTGTCTTGTTAGGAATGATAACACCTACTGTTTTAAGATCATTAATGCTGATGGGAGTAAGTGCAGTACCAGTAGGATTTTATGTCTATCTTATTAGTATATTGTAAAATTTTAAAGCTGCAGACATATCGATTGTACAGATTTTAACAGCACAATAAGTTATGATACCTGGTGTCTCTTGAGACAGCATTACTGCATCTCATGAAAATAGATCTTAGGGACTTGACCTTCAAACTACGGTAGGTCATAACACTAGCACTAATTAATCTGTGTTAAATGGCAATGGAGGTTCAGATGAGCAAGGTATACAGCTCAGTGTATACCAATTAATCCAAACAGATCTTAAAATGGTAGCGAAGAGGATAAAAGCTAGCTCATCTCACTCCTCTGTCAAATTGAAGATTTACTGTTCTTACAATCCAGCTTTGCTCTCTCTGGGCTGTATATATAAATGATTTTCTTGAAGAAAAAACAATATACCATTTAGAAAACAAGTACACTTGCAAATTAATGGTAACTGCTTGTGTTCGGAGGGGCATCTTTCATTTTAGGGGGCACCTTGGCCTCCCCCTCCACGCTGGAGGTTATTTCTGGCTGCTCCAGACCAGGCCCTGCTCCGGCGGGGGTGGAGGGGGGAAACAGGGGGTCTGGGTTGGGGTGGCCCTTGTGGGGGCCGGGTGCTGCCGGCCGGATGCTGAGGATGCTGCTACTGGAGGAGGCTGGTCCCTGGGGAGC